TAGGTGCGTTACTCTAAGTCTTCCTACCAATTTGAACAAGTTGCAAAAAACAAGGTCAAACAACTTCTATACAACGAAAGGATACTGCGGCCACACAAAAGGCCACACCATCACTTGCTTTATGCTACCTAGAATGACTTTTTTTACTTGAATAGTGTAAACTTTTGCCACAGCTCCGTTATTCTGTAGACTACTTTCAACTTTTGGTGAAATTTGTCAGTCTCCTGATTAGCGCTTTGTTTTTTCCAATCGTCTCGCCTTGCATTGACTGCCTCTATTACGATGTTATCAATCTGACTATGATCCAATAAACAATAGAGCTTTCGACAAAATAAAATTGGTTGCTAACTAATCTAGAATAGCCTAACATCAGAGTGCTCAATGATAAGAGGATCAAGCACACCGAGAGTGAATATGTCGAAGGTATGGTGTGCGACTTCGATGCTTTCTGTTAACTACACTTTTGATCAAATGGTCCACATATTCTCAGTGAAGTGCTCTTGAAAGCCTACTTATACACGACAAAATGCACTTATGCCTTTTGTCTGGGTAGATACTTAGTCAGCACACCTACAAAATGTTGTTATTTTCTTTTTGTGTCATTTCTTCCTTTGTCGTTAAACCCTCCAAAGCTGGCTCGCAAGAAAGCGGAGACCACCTCATTAATACAAAAGAAGCGGGAGATCTTCTTGTTGCAAATTGAACGTGCCAATTCATCGAAAAAAGTGGTTATTCCGTCGAAAAATGAGGAAAATTCAGGCCTCACTTCCTCACGACTTTTGCCCACCGAAGGGGTAAGTAATTAAATGATGTGACATTGTGCTGCCATAATTGACCTATAGGAATACGAAAGCTTATTCTATAACCATCCTTTCCTATTTGTCTTGTGCAAAATAAAAAGAATATTGCAATTTTGCGATAGTTCTTTAAAATACCGTATTTTCCCATGTATAAGCACCCCCTCTGTATAAGCCACCCCCAATTTTTTGACTGTGAAATTTTGAAAAAATATTTCATTAGTGAAGCAAGTTACAAAGAAAGAAAAGTTACAAACAAACAAAATTCAAGACTCATGATAATCGCTCATACACTCATCATCACTGTCTGGTGCATCAGGTATAGTGACAACCCCCTCACATTCCTCGTCTTCTTCAATATCACTGGCATCGAATTTAGCTAGCAGTTCTTCCTCGTCTCTATCATCTTCATCGCCATCTTCATATATCAAGTGAGCTTCTGAACCATCAAGAGAATTAGAGATTCCACATTTTTTAAAGGCTTTGACAATGATCTCGATCTTCAC